GAGGTCTTGTGAACCCAGCATTCATTCCTGCCTGTGGCAGGGGGTCAGGCTAGATGATCTGTTCAGGTCTCCCCTGACCCTAGCTACTGTGAAACTATCTGGTAATTAAGTTGCAATTTGTGCACTGGTGGATTTGGCTCCCTTGTTAGAAATCACTAGCCCATCAGTGGAGTTTTCTCTCCTCCCACACCAGAGCAAATCCATCCTTGATATAAATCCACATGAGCCAAGTTTAACCAAAGGATTTCTGATTCTGGAGAAAATGGAAACCAGACTAATAGAGTCTAACCCACTCTATTTCCAACCTTCTAAGTCAGGCTGTAGATATGAAATGCAGAAGTGCACAAGGAAGCTCCGTTCAAAAATTTTCAAGAGTAACCACTAACTCTGGGTTATATTTTGGTTTATTGGGTTTTTTTTTTAATATGCTGTGCTCTTAATTTTTTTTTTCCAATAACTGCCGTGGATCTGAAACTACAGGTCACTTCCCTGAAGGCTGCTAATGCTTTAGCTCCTCAGATAATCAGTCTCTTTTCCCCTCCTCACCCACCTTCTCCCCCATTGAACAACCAAAGTGTTGGAACCAGAGAGTGGACACTTGAGGAAACTTGGAGCTGAATGTGGGTTGAATAGGCCTTTTTCACATGGAAACCAAAGCAAAGAACTGAACTTGTCTAAATTGCAGAAAGCTGTGTACAAAGTGATTTGCTGACCCTTAGTAGTGTTTCCCAACCTTTTCCAGTCGAAGGCACACTTGCATTAATAAAAATTTTCTGCAGCACACGTGTTAAGACATTCTCCATCCTCTTACCTATTGTAGCTCATTGCCATGGCAAAATTCTGTGGCACACCTGTTCATTTCTGATGGTACTCTTTTGTGCCATGGCACACTGGTTGGGAAACACTGCCCTAGTGATATTAAAGTAAGAGCCCATCATGAAAGGGAAGGAAGTCAAGGAAAGATGCTGTCAGGAGCATAGAGTTGGTAGCTGGCTTCATAAAGGTGATTTCTGATGGGGAGGTCTGTGCGTTTATATTTCAATTCAGGTTGGAATTGATTTTACTGCATCCAATGGGAATCCACGGGACCCGTCATCTTTGCACTATATCAATCCCATGGGAACAAATGACTACTTGTCAGCTATCTGGGCAGTTGGACAGATCATTCAGGACTATGACACGTAGGTACCAATCTTTTTAGGTTAGGATTGCAGCTATCTGGTCTATCAGTCACGCCCATTCCATCTGTGACAGGGTGCATTGATAGTGTGGTCCAGTGAGATGGGTCATGGTGTTCAAACAGTGCCTTCTGCACTGTGATTGCTGTGTGACTGGGCAAAACGCTTCCTTTTCCAGACCAGTTCCCCCGTCTATGAACTTTGGGTGGATACCTCTACCTCAGCAAAGCTCTTTGAGATCTGGGGATGAAAAATATTCCTATACATTCAGATACTCAATAAATTGCCTTTCCCTGGAAAGTACATTAAGGCACCCCAGAGTGTCATGGTTCCCAGTTTGAGAATCACTAAACTAGATTTTTTATTTTCTCCTCTCTTCCCCCCATGTTTGGGATTGGCCTATGTGGAGGTGCTACCAACCTGCAGCTCTCGTGGTGTGGCAGAGACAGATGCTGAGTACCTGCCAGGGCTGTCAGGCTTTTCATGAGTAAAGGAGCATCAGGGATAAATTCATTAACACTTTCTGGGTACATGTGTGTCATATATATAATTATATAATTTTTTTTCCCTAGAGACAAAATGTTTCCTGCTCTGGGATTTGGTGCCCAGCTACCACCAGACTGGAAGGTAAAGTCCTCTGCTTTCCATCTGTTCCATGTGTTTAAAATGTGCACATCCATGGCACTGCTTGAGCAGGAGAGAAGCTCACATTTGCTGCAGAATAGCTCACCAATGCAGCCTGTGTGAGCTTTTCATGTGAGAAGTGTGTTAGAGGTGGAAGGAAGAAGGGCTCTGACTTTTAAGCTTTTGGAGAATGAAATCTGACTGTGTATGTGTTTTGTGTGTGCATTTCAGGAGTAGGGGATAGGAACTGGCAGCCAGTTTCTACTTCCCTTTCAAGCTGGCATAAAAGCGGTGGCAGCAGCATTGGCATTAATTGGCAGTCAGCTGTTGAGTCATTCTAGTAAACAGGAATGATTGGTGGAAGAAAAGTGGAAGGACCCTTGATAAGTGTGTCAGACGGAAACAGAGCAGGAAACCGAGGGGGTGGGGAAGTAAAAGTCCATGCTGTAGTATTTTACAGTCAGAGTCTTCATTGAAACAAGACAGAGGCAGGGGTTAAACAGTAAGGACTTTAAATTGGTGGCTCTCTAATCTTGATGGCATTTGAAAGCCAGTCCTTTCCAGGGGCTGGACTTTGAATTTCCTAAACACCAGGTTGATGTTCTGTTGTGATTAGCCACACTGGTGGTTAAAACAGTCCTGGTTCTGCAAAGGCATATGCTGAAGCATCTCGCCTGGCATATGGTATAGCAGCACAGTGCTCAAAGCATCATTATAGACCCATGAGAATCATCATTTCCACAGCAGACATGCAGTTCTGCAGCTTGTTGTTGTAATGCCTTTGCTGATCCAGGACACAAAGTTAAATGCTCGAAGAATTCACGCCCATCATTCAAAGACCCAGTGCATACTGGGAAGGGAAGTTTTAACATGTATGTGACCCACCAGCTGGGCCATATAAATACTGGGCCATGTTTACCCTTGGTAAAACTCCTTCAAAAACTGGGTGAATTCAGCCTATTGAATCTTGTTGCATCAAGACTGGATCTCTCCCTGGTGAGCCTGTATGCATCTTCCTGTCACATATTTTTTATATTGGAAACAGTATCCAGCACTTTCTTAAGCACATAATCTGACTGTACAATGACAGAATCTAACTCTAAATTCAGCCTATTGGGGCCAGTTCTAAACCAAAAATGAGCTAATGTGGCTCTGTTCTGAGAGGGGGAGGGAGCTCTGGAAGGGTCCAGGGTATTGAAGCTGGTCCAAGGGGAAGGTGATTTGCTAGAAACCTGTGGTGACCATGTTGATCCTTTCTGAGGTTGTGACTGTGGGAGACTTGTGTATTCTTTCTATCCCCAACTGTAGTGGAATTTGTTGTTTCAACAGCCCTGTAAATAAGCCTGATGCTGCAAAGAGAGGAGCACTGGGCTCTGCCTCAGGACATAGCCCAAGGCCCATACCCTGTGAAGCTTTTGGTACCTCTTGAGGGCCTTGAGTACCTCAAAAAATCTGAGCCTTGGGTTTGGTGGAAGGTTTGTGAACCTTCATGAAGAGGCCCTGACTGAAATCTAGCTTTTCAGAGAGGAGTCTGATGGCAGCTGTGTTCTCATGGGTGTCTTTACAAGCATCTCTGTGGAGGGAGTTTATAACGTCAAACCAATTTTAGCTTCTGCCTTGTTACAGAGTTGGTCAAACCAGCCTTCTCTGTGACTCTAATATATAAATCAGTGGTTTTCAACCTTTTTTTCATCTGCAGACCCCTAAAAAACTTTGAATGGAGGTGTGGACCCCTTTGGAAATGGAATGTCTTTTTCGGGATTTGAAACTTAATTTTCATAGTCATCTTTTGCAGACACTTTAAGAAGTCCGGAGCCTCCCCAGGGGTCTGCAGTTGAAAACCACTGATATGCATCTTTACTACCTGCCAGTTCCACTCCCCACCCCTCCTGAAATATTCTACTCCTGAATGTGGGAGCACTCCTAATCCCTACTTTGGCTGAGGGAACCAGAAAGTCCACCTGCCCTGGAACTTCAGCTTTTCTCCTAGTGATGCTCCTGTTTCTAGATATGGCACATATTTGTGGCCATGTCTGTTTCCCATGACTTCACTGGGTTTGGTTTGCTCCTTGATGTGCTGCATTGAGGCAGTTGAACATCTGAATGTTGTTAAAACTTTCTCAATGGAGAGGTTTGAACTGCAGGAAGGAAGATTTGGAAGAGGCATATTAGCATTGGAAACTATACGGGCTGAATGCTTGAAGAGTACACCCTGGGAATGACTAGATCTTCTGAGAGGTTTCCCAGTATCACATCTGGGGGATTTCAGTGGTGGTGGGGGGTGGCTTTAATGTGCTTTGCCCCTTTAAGGGAAGGTGCTAAAAGTTAGACTAAATTCCATAACCTAGTTTTTAAGATGTTAAAGCTCTCATTTTTAAAAAGCTTCACCTAAAGCATAAGTTAATGCCTCATTTGATTTCCCTTTGTTTACATTGATCAGTCCAAGTGCACTGGGCTCTGTCATTGTCTGTATATGAGAGAGCAGCTCTTCCAAACACTTTTTTTTCCCTCCTTGGACCATCTCTTATTGACATTTATCTTTTTAAAGACAGCCCTTTTACCAGAACCAATGCCCCTGATCAAGTGTTTTTTCCTACTTTTTTATTCTTTATTAAGGTCACGGTTTTCCAGGCCACCTGGCCCGGTAAGTAGAGCCGGGTGTG